ACTGAATCAAGGGGAGCTTTGGTGGTTTCCAGACTTCTCAACCCACAAACACCAAAGACAACTTAGTAAGTCAGTAGGAAAGGTCTGTCAGACCACGGTGAGAGAGCAGCTTGGTTTAGCTCCAGTCCCAGCACAGCCCCAGAGCAGTGGCTGCTTCCAAAGCTCTCGGCCCACAGACAGGAGGGAAGATCAAGCAGATGATCAGAGGGGGATTGTAGGGATCTCTTTGCTGGTACTGAGGCAGGATTCTCTTGCTTTGCCCCTTTGGATCTGAATTGCAGTTCTGAGTGGAGGTCCTGGGGCAAGGAGGAACACTGGAGTGGTGGAGCTTGTGGTGGCGATGCAGAGTGAATACTCCTGAAGTTCCAAGACAGAAAAGAGTGCTCGTGGTCACTCACTGACCAAAGCACAGGCCAGGAAAGGAGTAAACACCTCGCCTTTGATCATAATACCTTGGAAGAACAGAAAATTTACAGGTCCCTGGAATTATCTTTGAAAACAGCTGCACAAAACTCCTGAAGCTTGGGACAGTACATTCTCCACACTGGCGACAGACCCCTCACCATAAAAAAGAGTTTAAAAGTCAAATAATTGGCTGAGATCATGAGCAAACAGCACAAAAGAAAGTCAGACCATAGAATCTTACTTTGGTGGCAAAGTAGATCAAAACATACAACCAGAAGAAGACAACAAAGTCAAAGCTCCTACATCCAAAGCCTCCAAGAAAAATATAAATCAGTCCCAGGCCTTGGAAGAGCTCAAGAGGGATTTTGAGAAGCAAGTAAGAGAAGTAGAGGAAAAACTGGGAAGAGAAATGAGAGTGATGCAAGAAAATCATGAAAAACAAGTCAACAGCTTGCTAAAGGAGACCCCCAAAAATACTGAAGAAAATAAGACCTTAAAAAATAGCCTAACCCAAATGGCAAAAGAGGTCCAAAAAGCCAACGAGGAGAAGAATGCCTTAAAAAGCAGAATTGGCCAAATGGAAAAGGAAGTCCAGAAGCTCACTGAAGAAAATATTTCCTTAAAAATTAGAATGGAGCCAAATGGAAGCTAATAACTTTATGAGAAATCAAGACACTGTAAAACAAATCCAAAAGAATGAAAAAATAGAAGAATGTGAAATATCTCATTGGAAAAACAACTTACCTGGAAAATAGATCCAGGAGAGTTAATTTAAAAATTATTGGACTACCTGAAAGCCCTTATAAAAAAAAAAGCCTAGACATCATCTTTCAAGAAATTATCAAGGAAAACCGTCCCCCCATTGGCTCCCTGGGGGTCGTGGGGAGGGGGCACAGCTCTCAGGCCGACCCCAGACTCTGGCGCCCCCGCCACACGGACACTGACTGGCTGTGGACAAACCCTGGGTGCCAAAGCCCCAGACCAGGCTTGCTGGTTTCCTCCTGGCGGCCCCTGGAGTCAGGGAGAAGGTAAACTAGAAATGGAAAGAATCTCCCAATTACCTTCTGAAAGAGATGTGGAAAGGAAAACCCCTAGGAATATTATAGCCAAATTCCAGAGTTCCTAGGTCAAGGAGAAAATATTGCAAGCAGCCAGAAGGAAACAATTCAAGTATTGTGGAAACACAATCAGAATACCTGAAGATTTAGCAGCTTCTATATTAAGGGATCATAAGGCTTGGAATATGATATTCCAGAGGTCAAAGGAACTAGGATTAAAACCACATATCACCTACCCAGGAAAACTGAGTATAATCCTTCAGGGGAAAAATGGACATTCAGTGAAATAGAAGACTTTCAAGCGTTCTTGATGAAAAGACTAGAGCTGAATAGAAAATTTGACTTTCAAATACAAGACTCAAGAGAAACATGAAAAGGTAAACAGGAAAGAGAAATCATAAGGGATTCATTAAAGTTGAACTGTTTATATTCCTGCATGGAAAGATGATATTTATAACTCATGAGACCTGTGTCAGTGTTAGGGTTGGAGGGAAAAATATTTGGATAAATAGATGTTGTTTCTCATGCACAGCAGTCTTCCCATCTCCAGCACTTTGTACTGGCAGTGTCCTCACCTCCACTTCATAGAAACCCTCTCTTCCTTGAAGACACAACTGAAGAACTGTCTTCTGCATGAAGCCTTTCCTGACATTCCCAGTCGCTGATTTCTGCTTTCCCTAATTACATTGGATTCCTTTTGTATTTAGTCTGTATGTATTTATGCTGTCCATATTTTTCTCTGTCCATGCTGCCTCCCCCATGAGAATGTCAGCTTCTTGAGAGTAAGGATTGTTTCAGTTTTTCTATTTACATTTCCAGCTTTTCCCACAGTATATGGCAAATAATAAGTACTTAGAAAATATGCAGGATGTTTGTGATATACACTGATAGGGAATATTCACATAAGTGCGGTCACAGATCTGCCAAAGGATGAAGGAAAAGGCTATTTCCTGGGTCGTTGCTTTGAACAGGGTCAGATTAGGTTCCAGTCACCTTAACTTTGTGTAGCCTGCTTGAGACTGTCTTTCCTATAGTCCAAGGACTCTGTGGGATAAAGGACCTTTAAAAAAACTTTGCAAATTCAACATGTGGATTTCAAAACTACCCTTTTCAAATCTGTTTTTCTAATGGGGTGTTTTTGAAAGTACTGGTCATACTGGAAGTGGCCTCTGAGGCTTCCTTTTCCAACACTTTCATTTCACAGATGAAGAAACTGAGTCCCAGGAAGGTTAAGTGACTTGTCTAAGGTCACACAATATCTGATCTATCTTTGTAGAGTTCACTTTTGTTCTAGTTTAGGGAACTAATGGAGTATATTGGGCAAATAGTTAAGAAACCTAGAAAGCTCTTATTTCACAGAAAGTCGGGGAGTTGATGTATATGTATGCAGTCAGGGAGAAAGTCAGGGAGTATGTATATGGAAGTCAGAGTCAGAAAGATGCTTTTCATTTCTGTATCAATATGGGAGTTTAAATCAGACCTTGCATACAGATATTGCACCAAGGCAGATACAGGGTCTGCAGAGAAGAGGAGAATTTAGAGACAAATTAACCAGGAACCTGGATAAAACTAGAAAATTCTCTGCAGCTTTTAAAAAATGCTTTATTATTTTTTTCTTTCAGCTTAAGTGATGACTTGCATTTTATTGCTTGACCTATAGAAACTGCTGAGTCTTAGTGACTGGAAAGTTTTAAAAAATCTAATTAAGCTAGCTGGCAAACTCTGGTCTGCTATATCAGGTTAGTAAAGCCAGAAGTGAGAGGCAGTATGGTGTAGTGTATGGTGGACCCCAACTGTGGATTCAGAGAGATATGGCTTCAAGTTTTGCCTCCGCTGACACACACTAGCTGTGAGATCACAGGCAAATCCTTGAAACTCTCAGTACCTCAGGCAACCCTTTAAGACTGTAAGAGACTCTAAAGTTAGAAATTAATTGCCAGTCTGCATTAGTGGAGGCAGTTGCTATACCAGAAGTTCCTCATACCAATGAAATCACAGGTTCAAGACCAAAAAAGCAAACTGCATCCATCTCTTCTCTTTCGTAGTTTGCTTCTTCCATTTGTGGTGCCCTGCTCTATGTCAGGAGATGAAGGGGTAAAGGGTTGTGGCAGTGGAATCTCTCTCTATGGGGGTGGGGCAGTGTAACACGTGCCACGTGGGCCTCACATGCCCTAGGCCTCTGAGCATGACTTCCAAGTGCAGCCAGTGCTGGACTGGCCACAAAAGCTATGATTCAGGCGGTAAGGCAGGCTCATAGCCACCAGCATCTTAGTCCAGAAAGAAGTAGAAATGAACCGAGCCAGGCCTTTTATTGCTCTGATTAGCAAGAGCACAGTAGTTACATAATGTGTTGGCAGACACAAGTACTCCTGTAAAATATGTCACTGTTAAATTACCTGACATTGAGAAATTAAAGTTGATTAGTATGGAGAATCTATAAAAATTTGGAAATAAGCTTAGTTGCCTTTGGCAGATTTTTTAACAACCTCTTTGTGTAAATTCATCTTTTGCCCCTCTTTTTTGCTTTCTGCTTTTTAGTCTATACCTTCCCCCATATATATTTTGCATAAAAAGACCCTTTGGTACCAACATGGCCTTCATCTCATTGGCACAGGTTTTCATGGGCCAAAATATGACACCCAAAACCCCTATGTCTTCCTTTGTTTGACAGTCTTTGCACATGAGTGGGGTAGTTTTACTGAAAGAAAGTTACTTATCTAAAATAAAGATCTAGCTGGTAATATTGACAGTTACACCTATATGTATACACACCAAAAGAGGAAGAGGAAGGAGAAGCTAATTCCAAAATCCTCCTTCCTTGAAGTAAACTATTGCAGGGTAATGTTGCAGTGGGAAAAGCATTGGCCTTAGAAAGAAAAAAATCTCAGTTCAGGTAACCAAAGCGATCTTCCTAAAGTTTGGGTGTGATCATGTTATCCACCTACTCCCCAATTCTGAGGATCAAATAAATTCCCCGATGCTACCTTTTCTTCCCACATTATTCCCTCCCATGTACTGGAATTATGCTTGATCCTTCATGCTGTTCCCCCATGTGTGAAACTCCCTGTCTTTGTACTGGTTGTTTCCTTTGCCTATAATATATCTGCTTCTACCACTTGGAATGCTTGGTTTCCTTCAATACTCAACTCGAGCCCTTGTCCACCAAAGATTACCTTATAATTGTTTTGCACGTGTTTGGCGTATACCTATACATGTTCATGGTGGCAAGCCTCTGTAGAATGGAAGTTCCTTAAGGACGGGATGCATTGGACTTTAGTGTTTGGGTCCTCAGTGGCTAGCACAAGGCCTGTCTTAAAGCAGTGTTATTAAATGCTTGTTGATTAAGGCCCAGTTCTGTCACTTAATAGCTATGTGATCCTGGACGAGTCGTTGGGCAAGTTAATCTCTCTGGTCTTAGTTTCTTCATCTGTAATATAAGTTGATGGTATGACCTATAATGCCCCTCTAAGCTCTATCTCACGTGATCCTTCAGAGCTCTTCCCTAACTAGTAACTTCTTTTTTCTGTTTTCTTGTAGCAAACCTTGAGAGAAAAATGGGTGGAGTTCCGAGCTTTGCAGTTACAGGAACAGCGCCTGCTTCATGGTAAATGCTGGTTTCCTGCTGAGAAACCACAGTCTCATCTCATTATTTGCACAAGGCCTTCAGCAGGAATTGATACTAAAGTGTTTTAAAGTCATTGTCATTTAAGGGAGCCTTACATTAGCACTGATATCCCTTCCCTAACATGCACATACATTTTTATGTTAGAAGCAGTTGGATAGCAACTTGGAAAATTGTCTTCCATTCCGGACTCTTCAGTTACTCAGTTGTACACCTGGGAAAATTTGTGGATAGGGTTTCTGTAGGTCATACATGACAAGACTTGAGGGATTTATCTTTTTTATCTTCTGTTCTTCATGGCTTCCATTCAGGGAAAAGATGGAAGAATCATAGGTTCGTGGAAAGCTAGATTTGGAAAGAGCATTAGAAATATTATGTTGCATTGGAAAGAACAACATATTTTGAAGTAGAAAACTTGGGTTAAATTATGGTTTTGCTATTTACTACCTTTGCTATATAAAGCTAGGTGACTCAGAGGATAGTGAGCTGGGCCTGGAGACAGGAAGACCTGATCAGCCGCAGACACTTAACTAGCTTTGTTACCCTGGGCAAATCACTTAACCTCCATTTGCCTCAGTTTTCCTGAACTGTAAAATGTGGATAATAATAGTAACTATCTTGAAAGTTTATTGTGAGGATTAAGTGAGATAATATTTATAAAGTACTTAGCAGAGTGCCTGGTGCTATATAAATCCTTATTTCCCTTCCTTTGGGCAAGTTTCTCAATTGAAAGTCCTTTCTGTTTTTAAATGCTATGACCAATTCTAACCTTTCCCGTAGTCACATAAGAAGGAGTAGAAATAGGATGTAAATCCAGGTCTTCAACTAATGACCACTTGGTTGGTGGATTATATTGTCAAGAGGATCCTTATTCAAATGTGTTGCACCAGATGGCCTCTTAGGACCCTTCGAACACTTAAGGTTTCTAATTCTGACCATGGTTGCTCTAAGTCTGTTGTTTGCTTCATTAGACCTTGCTGTGGCAGTCAAGAAAGAGACTGAGGGAGAGAACTGACAATGTTGGAACACAGCTCTTTTATTTCCTGCCATTTTGTACTTTCAGAGCAGGAAAGAGCCAGTTTAAGAACAACTTGTGAATTTGATGTTTCCTGGGGCTGGTGTAGGTTTGAGGAAAAAGCTCGTTCAGAGAGCTGGTTGACTCAAACTACTACCTGTGTGTGGGGGGGTGAATTTCAGGTAGTATCTTCCTCAAGTAACATTGATAGTCTAGTCATTAGACTACCCTTAGAAACCGATCCCTACTCTATTGTCAGAGATAGAACAAGTTAACTCTTAATGAGATGAATACTACCTTGTGCTTTAGTTTCCTAGACTGAAGTTCTGTTTTAAAAATAGTTTTGATAGTATCATATTTATCTATTTTGAATATATCAAATTCCATGAGATACTTTATTTAGGTGTGAAGATTGCTAAGGGTGATTGGAATATGAGAATTATTTTGCAGCCTTAGTATTTCCTCATTTGTTACAGAATTCAGGATGACCTGACAAAAAATGGACATTACCCTCCTCCCACCCTCTTTATGCACAGTGGTGCTTAAATGACTTACTGGTTACCTGTGAGCACAAGACCTCTTGTCTGTCCAGTTCTGGACCACTGGGCTGCCCTGATTAACTTCTGTAGTCTTCTTGAAATCCTCTGTAGTCTGATCTATGCGATCTGTTAATCTGTCATCTTGACTTCGGAGTCTAGTCTAGAGTTCCCATCAACTAAGTGAATGGGATCTTTGTAAGGATCAAGAAGGATGACTTAGTCAGCCCTTGGGATGGGGATGAGGGAAGAGATACTGAATAAGTGAATTTGGTCTGGTTCTAACACCATAATTGAGGGCATAGGATGATAAATACTGCTAATCACAAATCAAATGTGATTTTAAGGTGAATCAAAGCCCCCTATAGTGCTCTTTGATTCACTGAAATCATTTAACCAGTGTGCCAAGAGTGGGCTAGATATAAGTAGCTTATAAAATGCGCAAGTATAGAAAACTGAATAATACTAATAACTCATATTTTAGAGTTGTTTGATGTTTATAAAGTATTTCCCTCACAACAATTCTGGGAAATAGTAGAGGAATTATTACTTGCGTCATATAGCTAGGAAAGTGAGGCTCATTGAAAATTAGGCAACTAGGTTTATTTGCTTCTGTATGTTGTCTACCTGGGAGGGGGAAGAGGTTGGAGAGAACATAAATGCTTGTTAATTGAAGAAAAATATTTTTTAAAAAGTGAGCCTCAGAGACCTCAAATGATTTGCCCATGGTTACCCAGCTAGTGACTGTTGGACCTGGGATCTGACTCACATACGGACTATTGCAGTAGCCTTTTGGCTGGTCTCCCTGCCTCAAGTTTCTACCCATTTCTCCACTCAGCTTTACCAAAGTGATCTTCCTAAAGTGCACGTCTGATCATGTCATGCCCCTCACTGCAGTGGTTCCTGCTAACCCCCATAATCAGATATAAACCTTCTTTCTGGCTTTAAAGCACTTTATAACCTGGTCCTTTCTGACTTTTCTGGTTTCCTCACATTTATTCCCTTCCTCTATGATCCAGTGATGCTGGCTTTCTTGACATTCCTTGATAGTCGTTTCACACGACATTCCATCTCCTGTATTGGCTGTCTCCCTTGCCTGGAATTCTTTCCCTCCTCTCCTTGGCCTTGTAGCTTCCTCAGTTTCCTTCAGGTCCCAGCTAAAAGCCCACTTTCTAAAGAAGGCTTTCCTAAGAGCCTTACCTTTGTACCTTTGTTGGTGATCCCCAGTTTATTTTGTATCTATTTTGTTTGTACATGATTTGCTTGTTGTAGAGGCCCAGAACTATGTTTCTCTTTTAAATTCATTCATTCATTCATTCATTCATTCATTCATTCATTCATTCAATCAATTATTCATATAGCAAACCTTTATTCTATACGTATGTAAAATTTGTTGTTGTTCAGCCATTCAGTAATGTCCCCATGGACTGCACTGTCAAGGGGGTTTTCTTGGCAAAGATAGTGTCGTGGTTTGCTATTTCCTTCTCCAGTGGATTAAGGCAAACAGAGGTTAAGTGACTTGCCTAAGTTCATACTGCTAGTAAGTGTCTGAGGCTGGATTTGAACTCGAGTCTTCCTGACACCAGGCTCAGTGCTCTAGCTCTATCCACTGAACCATCTAGCTGCCTCACTTATACATACACACATAATATGCATGTACTTATCTACATATATACATATGTACATGCATATATGTATGCATATGTACGTGCATGTATATTTAGCTTCAGAATATACTGTATTTTTTTTGTGCAGCAGATTTCCCTAAGCAATTATGTTTTGTTTAAGTGTATATTACAATTAGTTTCTATTTTCCCATGGATAGACTTGGCTCAAAAACATGTTGGGTATGGACTAAAATCTATCTTGGTAGTAAAAATGTGTACATAATCTGTATGGGAACAATTAAGAACTGATTCTATCTTATTGTCTTGGCTATACCATTTATGAAATGAATTCTATTAGAATGGGAATAATTTCTTAAATATCTTTACTCTGAAATACCTAGCCAAATGGCATGTATGATATGGGCACTCAGTGAATATTAAGTGATAATGATGAAACATGAAGTATATATGCCCAAAGATATATTTAATTTTATAATTCTGTTTAAAAATTGTAGGTGTCCATATGATTTGCGTACTGGGAGAGACCCTAGAACTGTTTCTCTTTCAAATCCATTCATTCATTCATCAGTTCATTCAATAAACCTTTATTCATTTTCTGTTATATCTAGCACTACTGTACTTGGCAGAAGGGGGAAAATTCAGGAAAAAAGAAGACACATGCCCTGTCCTTAGAGAACCGATAGTTTAATGAGAGAGAAGACATGTTACAAAAATAGTAATAATAGTTTGCCTTATAGTGGTGTAAAGTTTATAACATGCTTTCCTTACAACTACCCTGTTAGGGGGAGGTATTATCTCCACTTGACAGGTTAAATGACTTGATCATGGTCAGATAGCTAGTAGTTGTTTGAAGATCAACATTAAAAAATAAAATATTAGTACATAAAAAGAATTCAAAGTGCTATGACATAAGATGACTTCCTCTGTGTGTGTGTGTGTGTGTTGGGAAAGGGGTGGAATTTCAGAAGGGACTACCTTGAACAAAGATTGCGTGGAAATAAGAAAGCTCAAGATATTTATATTACCACTGTTTATATCCGCCTTTTTTTTTTTAGCAAAGCTTCGGAATTATTAGGAAATTAGTGCAGGTGAATGATATTCTGTATATTCCTTAATGGGTTTTCCAAGAATGGAGAATTCAAACTTTCTGAAGTTAGGAACTGATAATTAAAATTTACCTATTGTTCCTGGATGGTTATGTGCTCACTGTGGGCACTTGAATGAATGAATGAGGTAACTTCAAAGCCTAATTTGAATATTTGCTTTCCTTTGGGTAGACTTTTAAAGGATCACTCACCCAAGACATATTTTAAGGAAAAATGTTGAATTTTTGTATTTTTCTTCTTTCTTGCCTTTGAGAAATTATGGCGGGTTGAGAAATGGTCATAGTCTTTAGGGTATAATAATAACCTGATACAAAGGAAAGTCTTGGATATGGAATAAGATGATCTGTCTCTGATGCTTACTAGCCATGACCTTAAACAAACCCCTTCATCTCTCTAAGCCTCAGTTTCACCTGCAGATCACACTCACACTCTACTGTTCGCTCTAGAAATCTGAGTTGTTATTGAGGGAAGCTGGGTTTTTACCAGATCTGTATGCAGAGGGATTTCAAAGTCATTCCATATGATGACTGGCTTATTTTCTCATTCTTAGGTGATGCAGTTGACAGCTCGGGACTGGAAAGTTTGCAATCAGAAGAATCTTTAGCTGAAAGCTCACCAGGACTGGCTGCCACTTACCAGAACCGCAACCACCGCCTTTCCAGTGAAAGCAGCTGTAAGAGCTGGTTGAGCTCCATGACCGTGGAGAGTGAGGATGGTTACCAAACGTGCATGTCTGAGGATTCTTGCCAGGAAGCCCTGAGCCGGCAGACGAGCACGGAGGATGAGTGTTTTTCCCTCAAGGATGGTGACCTGGCGCTGAGGAAATCTTCCACCAGGAGGAACAGGAACACCAGCACTGCCAGCAGTGGTTCCATGTCCCCCTTGTGGGAAGGTGGCGGCACCAATTTTGTCAGTGTGTTTGGGACTCTGCCACGAAAAAGCAGACGGGGAAGTGTTCGGAAACAACTTTTGAAATTCATCCCTGGCTTGCACCGAGCAGTGGAAGAGGAAGAGAGCCGATTTTGACGAGGGAGGAGCCCTTTTCAAATGAGCTTATCCCGCAAGGAGCAGCAATGACACAAATATGTTGGATGGTCTGAACTTCAGCTCTATCTGGCTCAGCAGAAGTGAAGAGATGGCTTATGAAACTGACATGGGACCTCAAGGCAGAAGTGGCCTTTATTTAAATGATTCATCTACATTTTGTTGCTGTTGTTGTTGTTTTAAATTGCTCTTCGACCAACTAAATTTGGAAGGGACCTAAGTCCAAATCTGCTCCTTACTACCTGGGTGACTTTGGGCAACTCACTTAACCTCTCTGGGCCTTTTATAGATGAGGATCTATAAAATGAAGGGGTTGGACTCGATAACTTTGATTATCCCACTTAAATAAATTATTGGGGATAGACTTGGTTATGAGAAAGTGTACACCACATCTGATGTTGCTTATGTAAGGAAAGGAATATTTATTATCTAGATTGTCCATGTGCAAAATAAGTTTGAGACTTTAAGACTCAAATTAGAAAAAAAAATGAATGCCTCAAGCAATATGACTGCTTGGCATATTTTTTCCACAGGGTTTTTAGTGAGTTTGCCTATGACCAAAGTGCAGTCTGGAAGTGCTTTAAAATCAAGGAATGTCAAAATATATATATTTAAATGTATAAATTTATAGCAGATGTTAGAGACCAGTAATTCTCCATGCTGCTGAGAGACAGAATAAGAGAAGATCATTAAAGATGTGTCAGGCCGAATTTAGCTTGGGAATCAGGATACATTTCCTGACAAAGGGGGTTATCAAGACTTGAAATGGGTTGCTGAGGGTAATTATTAATTTTCCTTCCCACAAAACCTTTAAAAACATGAGAGATTCTCATCTCCCAAGGCTAGTTCAAGTGTGCTCCTTCCTGAAGATGGAATAGGGATTGGATCCCTTCCCAACATACTTAGGTGTTGTGATGATTTCCTCTCCATTGTCCGGAAGGCCTAAGAATTTGATCCCAAGACATTTCTCCTTGTCACCTCCCATATTCTAGTCGTGCCTTTTTGAACACTCTTCTGTGTTTACTATTCATCAGAGTTCACAATAACTAAGGCTTCGTAGCTCCTGGGATGAAAGTGATTATTATTTTTACTCTGGAGTAAATCATCTGAGCTGCCAGTAATAATCCTTTAGTTTTTCAAATATTACATATTTCTGTGGGGGAAGGGGAGGGAGAAGGGAAAGAGGAGATTTCAGAGTCTATGTGGGTCTACTACCATGCATGAATAAACTTCAAAGATAATTAAAAAGTTTCATAATTTTGGGGAAACATTGAAAATTTATGAATTTACTAAAGAGAGCACAAGCAGGTAGAGCTAAGAAAAACTGGTAACATTTATAATTAAAATCTTTTCCTGCTATGGTATTAAAAAAGCTTTTCCAAATTCATAGTAATATAGAATTTAGGTGAAAGAAATGTATAATTGGGCTTCCAATAAATATTATTTGATACCGCTTTGGTGCTACCAAGTTTTCGTAGGATACTCTCTTGTACTATTATGCTACATATAAGGAAGGATTTAAAATATACAGGTTTGGGGTATTGCATAGACATACCATCTTTAGTCATTATTCTCTATTTAGGAAAAAAAAATTATGTGGAAAGAAAGTTCTGATTGTTTCTGTTATTCTGGCCATCCACAACAAGTTTTCTGACCTGTTCATTTTGAGGGCAATTGATGGCCTTATTTCTTACCAAGAAATAATGCTCAGTACCAATATTTTGAGAGATGGTGCCAAATAAGTCCAAACTGAGTCTGTTGTTTTTCTCTAGATGTAATTATTTCTCTCCAGGCTTGCGATAGGCCAATCAGACTAAATGCTGGTGGAAATGAATGCAGTATTTCAAGTTAATCGTACCTCTCTAAGAGCCAGTAGAAATAAATAAGCCTTATTTATTTCAGGAAAGCTGAATTTAAAACCTCATGCATCTTGATAGCTGCTTCGTGAACAACTCACAGGAAATTTAAAATCAGCCCCCAAATAATCAGTAGTTCTGTGGGCCTTATCATATCCTTTAGGAAATACAGAATATCAGCAATTAAAGGCATAGCGAAAAACACATTTTGCCACTTTGCCCAAGACAGGAAACCAAAAGTTGTAAGTAGACATTATAAGAATCTGGGTTAATAGATGGGAAAGGAGGACCGTGGGCTTGACTTAACCAATTATCTCTCTCAGGTCTCGTTTTACTCCCCTTTTGATGATATGTTTCATTTTTGAGGTCCCTGGGTCATTATTCAGAAAATTTCTGTTTCAGAGCACGCTAGAGTAGTGAAAGAATTCTCTTATTGCTTAGGATGTCGAATATGCTTTTAAATTACCAGAATATATCTAAGGGGGTAGAAATCATGACATACACAAGTTTCACTATAGTCTATAATCATTTTAGGCTATTATGACTCCAGTGGCCCATTGTGGTACAGAGATAACCTTGGGTTTTTGAGGGATATATGAAAAGAGATCATAAGCAAGTCCTACTAAATTAACAGTGTTATGCACAGGTTGATTGATGGATTGTAGGCCAAGCATCGACTAGCTGAGATTAGAGAGGCCAAAGATGAGGATGACAACTGGGTGATGAATTTTTCTAGACATAACCAATCTTTATGGGCATTTGTGAGGTCACAGAGCCATAGATTTGGAATTATAAAGGAACTTAAGAATCATTTTCCAGTTGCCTCATCTTACAGGTCAAGTGACTGAGGATTATGGGTTTAGAGCTGGAAGTGATCTTGGAGGCCCTCAAGTCCAACTCTTTCATCTTACAGATGAGGAAACTGTGGCCCAGAGGAGTTGAGTTGCATTCATTCACTCATATAGAAAACATTTATTAGATGCCCACTATGTTCAAGGCATTATGCTACAAAGCAGAACAGTCTCTGCTCCCAGTGAAATGACATTCTGCTTGGGGATTGGGGATAGAAAATTACATATAAAGCTATGCCAATAGAAAATATATACAAAATAGTTTGGGGCAGGAAGGGAAAAGCTGTCCCTGATGTACAAAGTTACAGTCAAGAGATGGAACGTCATGTTTAGGGTACAATAAGTTGTCCAAGGTCACGTAGGTAGAAAGGGTTGTGATGTACATCAATGAAATCACAGATCTTTTCAATATTGAAATAGGAGAAAAATTGGAGAGAAGTTAATGGATTTAAGAAGACCAATCTCTAACATCAGGCAGTAAGAACATGGGAAGCAAGGGCACTATTGTATTTGACGCATACACAGGCCATCGAGAAACTTGTAGGTGGTGGGGAAGTGAGGGAACATTACTCATGATCTAGCTTTTCTAACTCAAATGGCACATTAGATCATTTTCTATTTCCAAAATATGTTCTACCAGTCAATAGTCAATAAGTTTTTACCAGGTACCATGTTTAGTTCTGGTGATAAAAAAAAGACAAAAACAGGCCCTGCCCTCATGAATCTTACCGTGTAGCGGAGATGACAACATATAAATAGGTACAAACCAGGCATATACAGAGTTGAGAGGTGATTTCAGAGGGAAGGAAGTATGTCCTAGATAATGTCTTATATACCACTTTTCAAGTACAAGGCTTTGTGGGTAACATTCTGCAGCCAACTTATGCCTAACATCTTTTTTTTTACATCATATTATGGGTTCCTGACAGGATCACAGATGTGAATCTGGAAGGGACCTCAGAAGCCATCCAGTCTGTTCCCACAGGTAATATCTAGTCATTGAACCTTCTTGAACAGAGAAGTAACCAGATCAGACTTGTGCTTTAGTCATATCAAGTTAGCATTGTTTGAAGGAGAGAATGGAGAAGGATGATACCAGGAGCAAGGAGACCAAATAGGACATCATTGGAAAAGTCCAGATAAAAATCATGAGGATGTGAACTAGGGTGGTAGTAGAGAAAGGGACAGACATGAGAAATGTTGTAAAGGTAAAACTGGCCAGACTTGGCAACTCATTGGATATGGGGTATGGAGGAGAATACAGAGTTGAAGATTACTCTGAGGTTGCACTTGGGTGACTGGTGGTGGTGGTACTTTTGACAGAAACAGAACATTTAGGAAAAAGGGTCAAATTTGGAGGTAAGATGATAAATTTAATATAGCATAGGCTGATTCTGAGATATCGCTGTACATCCTAGTACAAATCTACAGCAGGAAGTTGGTGATGTGGAATTAGAGTCCAGGAGAAACGAAGTTTGGATATATTAATTATGGGTTATTAGTGACTAAGGTTAATATAGAGGTTATATAACTGCCCTAATAGGTTGTAACATGGGTACTTATTTCCATTTGCTGGCTTAAACTCTTTTTGATCACATATGACAATAGATTAAAGCTGGTCATAAGTGCACTAAAGGCACTAAATGACCCAAGAGTGCCTCGTCAATTGTCCTTACAGGCCAACTCCAAAGCCTAGCAATGACAGAAGGTGAAGCTGACTGAAAGACATGCCAGTAAAGGGACTAAAGTTTCCCAATAGGCAGCCCAATGCCTTGCCTTGTCTCCTATTTAGGAACACTAATTCAACTGAGTGGGAATACTCAAGCTTCATCCTTGCTTCTGTTTTATGGTGAAAAATTATATGTGGAAGCTAATACTCTCTGCTTCAGACATAGGCATACGGTTCTACTTGTAACAAATTTCTACAGACCACTTCATGTTGTTAATGGAATGCCTTCTTTCACTGAGAGAGGGGGTAAAGGAGAGGGAGAGAGAGAGATTGAAAGGAGGGGAAAAGAATGAAGAAGAAACGGATAGATGAGGGAAGAGGTGATTTCTTTAATGCTCTGAAAATAGGCCCAAATATATAAGCTAATTTTGGCTAGATATAACTGGCTCTGAAGGCACTGCTGTCATTTCCTGACCACAGTCTATGACACTGATCTTGAGTTTCAGAATCACAGAGACTGTCACTGATTAAAAAACAGGATGTGGGTGGGATTGTTAAGCATATGACTTCTTTGACTTGAAGTTGGCCGAACTGTAGTTGGAGAAATGTATATGTAATTCTAAACCTTATAATGTGCAGTAAAAATAGTTATTATAGAGGGAAAGCTGTTTCTGAACTTTATTGTTAATGCTAGCAAAGGTTTAGCATCTTAGTTCTCTATCCTGACTCAACATTAGTGAGGGTAGTAAGTACAGATAAGGTTTTGTGAGTAATGTGGAAAATGCTATAAAAAGAATTACGAAAAATACAAGGAACCTAAAAGAGATCTGTGTGGCAGCACATCCTTTCATGAATG